AAAGCAGATCTGCACCTGCTATAAGCAGGGCCTACGATGAAATGATTATTTTTTCAAGTTAGTCAAGTATGCCCTTTCCTAGGAAATTTCACTGTATTCCTTCCCTCCTACAGTCCATGACTCACTTTCCCCATAGTCTATTCGTATACCATGATTCCTAATCACACACAATTCTCAATGGATTGCTTTGGAGTCTCTAACAGGCATTGTTTCTCATGTCTATTTTACAAATTGCATTATCTTTTGCAAACCTTCAGATTCCCTCAATCTTTACACACCATTGACACCATTTCGGCAGCATTATTGATTGTACTCATAGTATGAACACTTGAAATGGAAAGAATGAGATCCGCTGTTAACATCAGCACTGATCCAAACAATGAGATGTGTTTGTGCATTAATCTCACCTTTGGGGAGATGATCTACACATTGTAAAAAAAAAGATCAGAATGACAACCACTCAAGACTCAGCTTGAATAGGAAGAGAGGCTGCCAGTGTCATTTTAAAACATTTATGAGGTTAGACAAAAGTTATTCCTTTCCATGTCTGAGGAAAAGAAATTGTGATTCAAGGCCTACATTGTTGTGTTAAGATGAAATATACAGATGCTTGGAGCAAAGTACCTCTCTTGATCAATCAGCTACACTAAACTCACTTGGTAAAGCTGTTTGACATCCTTGGATATGTTGTTGAGGCTGGGGCTCTCCAAGGACCTCTCAACCTGCTTTTCTGAGACCCAGTAGACTCTTTCTTAAGGATCCTTTGCCCCATTTCACTTTGAGAAAATCTGCATTTCCATAAACCACACCAAGAAACTACTGATGCTCCATCTGCAACTAATGACCTCTGGGGCATTCATGCCTTTGTGCCCATTGCTATAGATACTAACATGGGTTTTCCAAAAATGCACTAGATTGGGAAGCCACAAAGCAAATGTGAATCTCTTCACTTACTTTACTAATACTTTCCAATACTTTTATCCAGTTCCTATGCCAGCTGTCAGCCCCACCCCCTCCCCAGAGCAGGAGACAGAGGCCTCTTTGAGTAATGTTTTCAGTAAGTAGGAATTTCTTTGATTAATGATACTAGTTCTTTGACATAACAAGCAAGTTCTCCATGGGAAATGTGGAGTCTGATAAGAACTGGGTTCAAACTTTCTAAAGTCAAGGACTGTACATAGATTTGAACTCTACTAACTTGCAAACTTATTATGCCTCATTATAATGTAAACGCCACACCTACTGAATACGAGGATGAACATTAATAAGATCACACTAAAAGTATTACGGGTGTTATGAAATATTACATGATGCATATAGTGTTACTGAGTGTGCATGCTCTATCACAGATGAGTCAGATGATACTAAACAGTAAAAGAGCTCATTCTAAACCCAGCATGTCTGAACTGTATATAAAGTGATTCTCTGTCTTTCTAAGTTGCTTCCAACTTCTTCTAGTCTACAATTCAAGTCCAAGCAAGGCACACCTGGCTAAAGGACAGTGGTGAGATTCAGCCGGTTTGCACCAGTTTGGTAGAACTGGTAGCTAAATTTTGTTGAGTTCAGAGAACTGGCTGAACTCATGCTGCTTCTGGAAGTCCATTCCAGGCCTCGGAGGCCTGGAGGAGATCTCCCAGGCCAAGAATGGCCCATTGAAAGTGCGAGGGTGTCACTTCTGGAAGTCCATTTTAGGCCTGGAGGACGCCTCCAGGCCTAAAACAGTCCACACGAAGTGCATGGATGTCACTTCGGGAAGTCCATTCTAGGCCTCGGAGGCCCAGGCCTGCATCCACGCAGAGAACCAGATGTTCAGGTATTTGAATCCCACCACTGCTAAAGAATCTTGCAGACTTTTATGGCTAATACCCCCCCAAACCAGGAAAGACATGTGGAGTTACTTCTGAGCAGTTTCCTTCATTGTTCCATACCTTTAGACAGAATCTTGCCAAACCAAAGCAACTATTAGCATAACTATAGATGTACTCTGGGAATTGCTTGGGAGGAGCCCAACATTTAGGTTAAAAAACCCTCTTTCTCCAGACCAAACTGTCCATGATTTGCTGCCTCTTTGCTCTCTGGAATGCAGCCCCTCCTGCCTGGGAATCCAGACTTCATTCACCATACCAGGAGATTCTAGGCAAGTAACAAGAAGATAAATATACCATAGCAAAAACAAAGAAAAACAGTGAAACACAGACTGCAAGAAGGCACCAAGGTCAGCTAAGGACCATCGGTGCACTCAATCCAGCAGGCTTTAATTTCTTTTTGAATTCTAAGTAGGGACATACATATTTCTAGGAGGATAGTCTTCCAAGTTGGAACTAGTGGCTGAAGCTCAGAAGGTCTGTTGCATAGTGCATACATTATGATCTCACAAGGACGGAAGACCTCGTCAGATCTTCTCTGGATGCCTACACCAGATGGACAGATTGTCCCCAGGGGGTTCCTGAGCCCAACATTTTGGAATTTTAAACTAGGGGTTGACTGATATTAATGTGTCCCCAAACCAGAGAAGGAGGAGGAGGAGGAGGAGGAGGAGAAGAAGAAGAAGAAGAAGAAGAAGAAGAAGAAGAAGAAGAAGAAGAAGAAGAAGAAGAAGAACAACAACAACAACAACAACAACAACAACAACAACAACAACACAACAACAACAACAACAACAACAACAACAACAACAACAACAACATTTACTTCATATTCTTTTACCTGCTCATAATCAATATTACAATTATCATCACCATCACTATATTAGCATGGTCACACTTGGTGCACTGATCTTTGTGCAATAACTAGAGGATTCAGTATGGGTCCAAGTCTATTATTGGGAAAACATTCAATATAAGCAGAAACCTAAGACCAAATCAAAATGGCATTTCAAACTAATGATTTTGCATGTAGCCATTGTTGCTAGAAAAAAATGAGATTAAAAAAAATGGAATCTTTTCACATTCCACATATCAAACAATGGGAAGGGCAATCAGCTATTCTCTTGTATCTCTCTTCCAAGTATCTGCTGGTCTTCAAGGCTTTGCAGATCACATGAAGTAGCTCTATCACTGAAACTAATTTGCTTTTAAGAGACCTGGATCAGGAGGCAGACCACTCTGTCCTTAAACACTGGCCCACCTTATCCCAATATCAAATAGTAGAATTGCTCCTCCTCTCTGGTGGAAAATCTCAGACTTACTTAGTTGGACGATAATCTGGTATGGTGCGGTCCAATGATATTTTCTCACTGAGATAGGAATTGTAGCCATATTTTTCGTGGGGTCCCTTGGCTTTTTCTTCCTCCTCTGGAGAAAGAGTGGCAGGCAAGCCACCTTTGCCACGACCACCATAGCCTTCAATAAGCCCCAAGGATTTTGACAGACCTAGTAGAAAATCAAAGCAAAGAAGAGACAAACAAGAGAGTCAGTCTTGAAAGGAGATATTGGAAGCTAGAATATCCATCTTCCCTTGGAACAGATTAACAGCTGTAGAAAATCACCATCAGTGTATTGCTAGTCTATACAAAAAGGAAGAAAAGGGATACTAGTTTATCCATCTTTTAAATGAACAAATAGAATATCAAACATAGAATAATAGAGTTGGAAGGGACCTTGGAGGTCTTCTAATTTATCCCTCTGCTCAAACATGAAACCCTATGCCAGTGATGGCGAACCTTTTGGAGACCGAGTGCCCAAAAACTGGGCCTGCCCCCCTTCCGCCCCCACCCCACCTGCCCGCAGGGACACTCACTGCCTCCAGGGCCCGCCGCAGATTGCCAAACAGTGCCATGGCGGCCACGCCCTCTGCCCGCGCCCCACAACATCAACTGTGCATGATGGGGCATGAGGGCAGAGTCTTGTCTACACTGCCTGGCTGCCATGTCCTTGGCTGCACTGCTCCGCATGGGCCATGCTCGGGGGCGATTCTCCTCCAGGGAGGCTGCTAGGGAGGGGGTCCTGGGGGGAGGCAAGGCTGGGGCAATGGCAGGTGTGCCCACAGAGAGGGCTCCGAGTGCCGCCTCTGGCACCCGTGCCATAGGTTCACCACCACTGCCCTATGCCTTTCCAGATAAATGCCTGTCCAATCTCTTCCTGAAAACCTCCAGTGATGGAGCACCCACAACTTCTGGAGATAAGCTGTTCTGCTGATTAATTGTTCTGTCAGGAAATTTCTCCTTAGTTCTAAATTGATCTCTCTTTAATGATCTTTCACCTGTTATTTCATTTTCTGCCTTCAGATGCTGACCAGTTATGTACGGCCTTTATTTCTTAGCTCTAGTCCTCCTGATCTTACCAAGGGTTGTTTATTGCCACTGAAAAGGTCCTCTACAAACAACCTCAGGAAAAGAAAAGTCTCTCTTAGCTTTGCTTCTAAGATAAGTTTACTTGGAAATTATGAGAACTGAACAAGGGACCTTTTCTATGCATTATTAAACTATATTCCTGCACAGTGATATTCAGAGGACATTGAAAGTCTAAGGCTAACATAACATCTCAAGATGGCACAGTGGAAAGGATTTATTATATGAATCATTAATAAACCTATTTCCTCCACTCGAGCTTGTGTCTGAGTCACAGGTAAGCTGAATTTTATTTAGCCTCTGAATCATAGTCAGTTAAATTTCCCATTACACCTTTCCATTTGAATCATAGTAAGACAAATTCCATCTAGGCCGACTCACAAATAAGTCAAATTCCCACCTAAACTCTCCATCATTAGCAGGCCAAATTCCCCATTCCCATCTAGCTTCTCAATCATGAGCCTGCCAGTTCCTGCTCCCCTGCCAACGGCGGGCCAATTGACTTTTTATTCTTAAAAAAAAAAAAGTAGGCAGCTGCCAAGTAAATATCCATTTTCTCAATCTGAACGGTGAATAAGCTAAACTGAATGCCCATTTAAAGGCCAATTTCGGCCTCCATTAAAGCACACACAGAAACACGCACATTCAGACACAATGCTAGTCTCAGACCTTCTGGAAATAAAATGAATTTTCCTTTCACCTCTTAAAAGCAAAGCTGCAAGAGTGAATGCTCCCATCCAGAAGAGGGGGAAAAAAGAAATCCTTAACCCAAGCATGTCAGGAAAAGAGAGACAAAGTAATATTTTATGGCATGCTTCACTGTGCATTATAGAGAGCTGTAGCACCTGACATTTTTACATTTATTTTTAGGAGAGATTCACACCTCTCTCATTGTCAGGAGCTACTGAGCTCTCTGATGGATGGTTTTTATTCCTAGCCGTGATATTTATTTCCCCACCTTTATGGTTCAAGAGATTCAGGCCCTCTAGGCAGGTCTTTTGTGTGATGCTTTATTTGAATAGATGGTGACCAAGAAACAAAAGAGTGTGACAAGCAAAACAGCTTAATTTGATGAGCCCTGGGTTCCATGTTGCCAAACCCAGTTTACAAAGCTTCTCTTTTCCATTTAAATATGGATTGAAAACCATTCTACCATCATCCAGGGAGACAGGCGAGATTTGCCAATGATGCTCATACAGAAAAAAAAGGGAGATTCTAAATAAAAGACAAGTTGGAGAGATAAAATGTTAATAGATGGAGAGAATTAATCTTTAATAATTTAGTGTGTGGATATCACAGGTTCTACTGAAAGAAGTCAAAAATACAGTGTCCTGGAGGAACCAAATGAAGAAAAGATTTATCCAAGAAATGAGCTGAGCATGGTCTATTGTAAAAAAAAAAAATCTACCTACTTAAACATCCACAGTTCCTTAGGAGACATTATCTCTTTTTCTTCTAAAGGCAATAGCACTTAGACATATATATCAATCCATAGTGCTTCACAGCACTCTCTGAGCATTTTACAATATCAGCATATCACCCCCAATAATCTGGGCCCTCATTTTACCAACCTCAAAAGGATGGGAGGCTGATTCAACCTTGAGCCAGTCAAAAATTGAACTCCTGGCAGTGGGCAGAGTTAGCCTGCAATACTGCATTCTAACCACTGTGCCCCTACAGCTCTCTGATTCTAGCCCAGAGGTAGGCAACCTTGGCTCTTTTATGACACGTGGACTTCAACTCCCAGAATTCCTGAGCCAGCCATGCTGAGGGGAAAGGGAGAGGTTTCCATGCTGAGCCATGCTGGCTCAGGAATTCTGAGAGTTGAAGTCCACGAGTCATAAAAGAGCCAAGGTTGCCTACCCCTGTTCTAGCCCAAAGGGTGCTTACATTTGGGAAGATCATAACTGAGAAGGGAAAAGATAACTCCCCGTTTTGTGTCCATTAAGAATTTGAAAATAATCCCTTCAATCTCCTGAGTTTAAGAAAGTAACTGCAACTTAGCTGCAGGCACAACAGTTAAGACCATGTGTAGTTTGTCTATATGAGAACCCAGGAGATTTTATTTGGACTCAGTCCCAGAGATCCAGTATCATTTTTTTTTCACCACAATAATCCATCAAATGTTTGTAGAAGTTCTCAAAAAGGACCATTTCTAGTCCTCTAGCCTTTTTATGTTTTTAGCAACTGATCTTAGGAGGTGTCTTCCCACTAATACAGCAGGGGGCATATATCTGACATACTAACAAAACTGATAGGCTATTATCTCTGAATGTTAATACTGTTGGCCATCACTATATCTCGGGCAGTAAATTCCATAGTTCAACATTATTAAGTCCTCCTCTTCATATCTTTTATTTCTCACCTAACATCTTCTTTGGATGACCCCAATTCTTCTATTATGAAAAGCAGTGTTATCAAAATGTACATTAGCACAACTAGCATCTTGCTGCTTAGGTTCCCTAGCAACTAATATTCAAAGGTATATTACATTGAATATTAGAGGAAATATTACTGCCATCCTAGCTAGTAATCATTTATACTCCACCTACTGCATGACATTCTAAGTTTTGCAATGCAATATTCTGCAGAAAGGTTGTACAAACATGGGCACATAAAGTGGGAAAGTGCACAAACAATAGCATACTCATAAAACAATAATAAGAATGATGTTATAACTGAAAATATTGTTTGCAAAAAAATATACAGGAAAAGAGTGCTCAAAGTCTTTTTTAAAAGTATTTTGGGGAAAGATTTCTGTAGATGTATTCAAATGTTCATGCACATTCCATTCCCAAGATATATTAATGAAGAAAGAACAGAGAAGGGGAAGGAGGGAAGGGGAAGAGGGAGGAAGGGAGGGAGGGAGGGAGAAAAGAAGGAAGGAAGGAAGGAAGGAAGGAAGGAAGGAAGGAAGGAAGGAAGGAAGGAAGGAAGGAAGGAAGGAAGGAAGGAAGGAAGGAAGGAAAAAAGATAATTGCATAGAATGTAGATGACTTGACTCCAGAAGCTGTGGGTGCTCCAACACTGGACGTTTTTAAGAAGAGACTGGACAACCATTTATCTGAAATTGTATAGGGTTTCCTGCTTGAGCAGGGGGTTGGACTAGAAGACCTCCAAGGTCCCTTCCAACTCTATTATTCTGTTACAAACAAAACAAGGAATGGTTAAGTTTAATAATTAAAAAAAAACTTCTGGAAGTGAGTAAAAAAAGTTAAAAAGACGGTTCCAGCAGAGTGGATGAAATTAAAAATGGGAATCATAATGATATTTTGACGATTAGAATGGAAATGAATGCCATAAATGTTAATGTTTTAAAAAAATATGAAATGGAAGTCACAGATGCAGTGAGAATGGAGGGAACACCATGTAGATATTGAAACTGGGGAAATATTAAAATATAAATGTAGTTTCATATGGAGACTGTACGACTTGCTTATAATATCGGTACGAAAAAGAGCATCTTTGTTAGACAAACGAAGAACGCCACTATTTTCTCCCTACACAACGGGGAAGATTAAAAAGTTGAATATGAAAATTTGAAAAAAAAAGGTTTAGGTTGCTTAGTAGTGCACCTAGGAAGGCATTTGACACAACTGTGATTGAAACAGTATCACTTTTTGGGAAATAAAGCTTTATGCTAGGCAGGATGTTGGTGGACCATGTTTTTTCCTCTTTAGTTGGTTACTGGGAAATGTATGAATCCGAGAAACAATTTATTGTTCATCTTTGATATAAAGGAAGATACAATAAAGTGAATAGGTAAGAATCATGGGGTGTTTTACATGAAGATTGATGTATCTGATGAAAATAGTACGATGTAAGAAATCCTGTAGGAAAATAAGGAAATTCTTAGTCAATGGTTACACTGTGGGCAGGGAATAACAGAATAACAGAGTTGGAAGGGACCTTGGAGATCTTCTAGTCCAACTCCCTGCTCAAGCAGGAGATCTTATACCATTCCAAACAAGTGGCGGTCCAGTCTCTTCTTAAAAACCTCCAGTGACGGGGCAAGCTAAGGAAGTGTAATATTCCCTTAGAAAGCCAGTTGGTGTAGTGGTTAAAGGTATTAGAATAGAAACTAGAAGACTATAAGTTC